GTGGCAAGAACTTTGTCTACTGTCGGAAATTCTTTTCTAAAGAAGAACGCATACACTTTCCTTCGAAGTCATTCTTTCAAAAGATTTTCTAATTGAAATTTTGGTTTTCCTGGAACTTTACGTGCTGTTTGAAACTCGCCACATTTTTCTTCTTTAACAACTCTGTAAATCGTAGATTTCCCAACACCAAGCGTACTACTAACTAATTCCACTGTGTCATCAACACTTTTACATAAATGTTTATCTGTAAATGATTTAAAACAATTAAATATTAATGTTTTTTCATTAACTGTTAAAGGACCGATTTTTTGTCGTTTACGCGGCCCTTCCAAATTTTCCATGATCACACTAGAATTCACACTGCACCTTGCAAGTTGCAACTAAACGACATTTAGTAAACTGTCAAGAATACACAACTTGGACCTCCTTACTAAATGGAAAACCTATAATCGCATTTTCGGTGAAATTTGTTGAGAAGGTATTTGTCTACTTATAATTCGATTACTGTAAGAAATTCTTGGAATTAAAATAAAACAAAATTGGCAAATAGGTACTTATTGAAAATAATCTTAAGATACGGCTATGTAATCTTTAATACATAGGGCTTTTGGCCTGTCCAAACCTTTTTCTATTGTTCTGTACAGCTTATGTTTATAAAGGACCAATAAAAGACCCAAAACTTGTAATAGCTCAGGTACATTTATTACAATTTTAGGAAATATTTAGATTATTCTGTAAAAATATTTAAAATGACCTTATTAAGTTTTGCATTAGAAATGCTGTTTTATTACTCTCTCATACATAAAAATAGACTTATAGTGTCTTCATCTCTACTATTTTGATATTTATGAAACAAACCCTGTATCTAGAAGGTTACTAATTATTTTCGATAAACGCACTTTTCCCAGCTACCCATATTTCAACACGAGTAGCCTATACTATATTTCTTCGTTCTTATTAACCATTCATAACCGATGGCTTGATTTATACTGATTAGAAACAAGGCCTGAAGGTCCGAACTACCCGTTAATTGACCAATGACCCATATCCATAAACCCAATGGCGCACCCAAGAGGGCATAGCAGAACCGTGCGAAATCCATGAAAACATTTCTTATGTAAGTTTATAATATCAACCATAATTAAAGAAAAACGCCAGTAATAGAATTTGAAGAAAAAATGCCTCTTTTATCAAAAATTACACTCTAAAACTAATAACTGAAAAAAATCACTGTTACTTCTGTATCTGTATCTGTAATGTGTGGAGGGTGGGTTACTACACAGCACTTAGGCCTCATTAGGCCCATTGTGCATGCTCCTGAGAAGATAGGCACCTCCTAGCTCGTGAGCCAGCCTACAGATTTAATGTAGTTGACAACGTCGCCAGTGCTTCTCTTATATCGGCCGGTGTTAGCCGATACTCGCCGAACACAAATCTTCTAATAAATGAGAGCATCAAGCAATCGTAAAGGATATGCTCGATGGTATCATCTTGTTGTTCGCATCCTCTGCAGAGTGCGGTTTCTGGCAGCCCCATGATATGGAGATGCTTTCGTACTTGGCAATGACCAGTCAGAATGTCTGTGACTAGGCGTAGATTCTGTCTAGTCATTTTCAAGTATTTGTTTGCTGCAGTATTGTCAGGATAACTTAAGAGCTCCCTGGCAACTCTGCAGTTTCTTGTTTCATCCCATCTTTCCTTGAATTTCACAAGGGAATGTTCTTTGATTAGGTCTGTCACTACCGATTTTGTCAGGCCAATAGAAGGGCCAGGTCCAAAAAGTATTTGGTTGGCTGCTTTCTTGGCTAGTGAATCAGCAAGACGGTTACCTTCCGATGTGGCGTGACCTTTAATCCATCTTAAGGTGACCACGTTGTTGATGGATACTTCGGTTAAAGAACTTTTACTTACTGCAAATAAGAAGTTATATACTATATGGGACAAGTAAAATGTTCACTTGTGGTAAGTAAAATAAGATTTCTGAACATAGTCAGCTATGGTTAATGAATAGTTTAATTAGTTCTTAGATGACTTACTCTTAGTAAGCTATTTACTTGCCGTTAGTGATTTTAATTTAAGTGGATCCACGTCCCTGCTATGTGACAGCTACGTAGCCGCCCCTAAATTGGGGAATAGCCTCTATAGATGTGACTGTTTTAGTTACTATAAAGGATGAGGTTAGTAGCAAGTACTATGTCGCGACTAGGCAGCCTAGTAATCGTTACGTGGCTTCCTAGTAATCGCTACGTGGCTTCCTAGTAACTACTACTATCACTTCTTAATTATTTACAATATCTTTGAGCGACCTCTTTGTTTTTTTTTTTATAATAATGGCGCAGTGATATATATTATATCAAAAAGATGTGTACTTTAGGCGCGTGTATAAAGTAATTCTTTAGCCATTTTTTTAAATGGAATTTACTTTTCTGATATAAGCTGACATACTAAATGGTAAAATTTCAACGCGCCCTCAAAATAACCCCTAAAAAATTTCTCACCTAATAATGGCTGCCCATTTTAACAAAGGTACTAATAAAGTTAGATGCTCCACCATAAAATATAGGACAATGCCCCCATTTTAACTCTAGAGGATCTGTGACTTTGGTGATTCTATGGCAACTATACTGATGTGACTGTACAGTATTAAATTCTATTTTGGAACTAAGGATTTTGTAATTTTTTTCGAATATAGTAATCTACTCCACTGAGATGTTACTCTAAATACCTTAAATATCCAATAGTCAAATACTGCTAATTTAGTCCCAAAGAGGCGCCGTCCATTAAAATATCCTAACCTCAAATACATGTTGCCAATATGTAATATTCATGATACTATAAAAAGAAGGTATGAGATATTACGCCGATGATACTACGTCACAGTGACGTATTGTAGCGTAGAAGTGCAACTTTTACAAATTTGAGGTATCAGCTGATCGAAAACAGCGCACGAAAATAAATTTTAATCCACTCATAGCCAATTACAAATTCCACACCACAATAACGTTTAGGTGCACAAATCCCTTTTTGTTGTAAATTCAAAAAAAAGTAGATGTACCAAAATTAATTCTAACTCATTCTTACCGTATTTTGCGATACATTTTAACCCGTATAGAAAAAAAATATTTATTTTCCATTTTCCATTTCTTTCAAAGAACTTTTTCATATCTACTTAATCTGGTGAAATAAGTCATATAAAAGATCTATTTAGTTTGTAAGCTGTTTGAATTAAATAAAATGGACAATATACAAAGAGCTGATACTGGTAATATTCATGGATATTAACTGTATTACTAAACAAGCCAAACTAGAAAAATAGCACTGGTCTAAAAAAGAACGACAAAGATTGGCACATAAGGTAAATATCACTGGTTTAAAACCGAACGACAAAGATTGGCACAAGGTATTTATCACTATAAAGTTGCAAAACCATAGTTTCTGATTTTTAAGTCAAAATAAGATAGTTGCAAAAACTGTAAAGTACCAACAGAAACTATTTCCGTTCTTATGTTGCCACTAAAGTTCGAAGTGGTGGTCACTGACACTTTCATGGGGCCTTTTTGCCTTTCTTTGTACCAAGTTACTTTATTTAGGCATATTAGAAAAAATGGTGGGTGGCATTAACTGATTCACTGGGACTATATAGTTTGTGCCACTATAGTGTACCAATAAAATGATAGTTCTCTATTCAAGTATCTATCCAAATGCTACTTTGACTATTTTGGGACCCTTTTTGCCCCTCTATGTACCCAGTTTCTTTATTTAGGCCTATTAGTGGCACTGGCGGCTGGCAGTAAGTGATTTGCTGTTATTATATAGTTCTGGGTATTTACAGTTCAATATCAGTGTAATAATAGTTACAAAAGAAGCATTAAAGTATCTATGCCCAATAGCAATATTATTATCATGGTGTACCTCAGGAACAAAGGCTTCGTAGCAAAACCTAAACCGAAAGGAGCTAGTATCGTGGGTTACTTTGGACCTTTTAACATAGGTAAATAGATCTTCCCACTTAGTTGATGAATTTAAGACCTCATGGTTTTGAGAAGAACAGGTCAATATTGTCTCTGAAATTTATAGCGTACTTTTATGATCTTTAATTGTTATCAGGTTTACGAGTAACAATCGAAAGAATTTTATGGTACAAAACCTTTGTATTTATTTTTCTCAAAAACCACAATAAATGCAATATTTGGACACTGTAGATACTAACAATATGCTGCAAATATTACGTATATATGTAAATTAAAGAAAACCTCGACTCATCAAAAGCATTATTTTTACAATCGCTATTTTTGAATTATTAACAAACACTATCTTTTGATATACCTTTTTCTATCCAATAACGCTGAATGATGCTTCTAGGATGCTCATTTCCCTCTTTTTCTTAACCATTCTATTTCTTTTTTCGTCTTCTTTTCTTATTCAACGTAGGATCATGACTTCATCAACAAACAGTTATTCACCAAAGTGGTCGACGCTCACATAATTAAATACATTATTTATTGTTATGAAGGAAGTGTTACATTTTTTAACCCTTTATTAGGATATCATTGTGATATAAACGACACTTACAAAAAATCAACTAGATATTTTAAAATAATTGTTAGAAAAATATAAAAAAAAAACAAAATAAGAACATTTAAATTGAAGCTTAGTTAAAAATAGAAGACAGGAACATTAGATACATAATATATTTAAAATACATTTTTAATACACCCATGAACAACCAGTAATATATATTTTTATTATTTCGCTTAGATTTATACACTTAACATTAAAACTGGTTACATATCACTCCATAAAAAAAAGGTGTTTAACATGGTTATTTCAAGTAAAGAAATCATTTGGCATTGTTTTTCTGTGTAATCATAATAAATTTAGTTAACCCCATACCAGTTTGATCCAACCTTGTCAATTACAACGAATATTATTTTTTTGCAGTATAAAAATGTTATTATTTTCCCAAAGAATACATCGAGTGCGTCACTGTTTCTACTAACCACAAATTTCCGTTCTTGTTCTTATTAAAGGTTGAAGGAAAACAAAGATAGAAACTAATAGCCTTTATCGTTATCCTGAGAACATCGTGGAAAAAATCGATCGATAAATCATTCCGAATTTTCGGTAGCTGCGTTTTGTTCTTAGAATTAACTGGGAATTAGTTTTTTTGATTTATTGAGACCATCATTAGGTGAAAAGGAAACGTAGTATTAATTTTTTCATGTTAAAATTACGAATTAGTTCATCCGAAATTGTAGGTTATCCGTAGATGAATAGAGCATCCTTATTTTGGTTGTTAATTCATAACTTTTAAAATTAATAAACTATCATTAATTATAATTAATAAATTGGTATTGAATACAATACAAAGAAATCAATAAATTTTACTGATCTATAATTTTACTCTACAACTGTTTACCTACAAACTTATTTTTAATAAACGCTTGTGTATTGAAAGCTAGAGAAAGGTATTATAAAATAATTAAGCATTTAAAAGATTACTAATAACGGAAAATGCACATTAGATGGAAAATTTGTCATGGTAAATTTGTAATTATCACGGAAAGAAACAAATTTGCTTGTTGGCCGATAAAACGTAGTTTAATATAATTGCAGATTATTAAAAAGAGCGTTAAATATACTTTCATTCATTTTGTACACGAAAATCGTCCAAACGTCCTATGAGTCCCTTTTCCGGGATTTGGGTGCACTATGGAAGTGAGTTTGCATAAACGGTAGATGCTCAAGACATCGTAGTCAGCTCGAATAAAGTTCTTTTTCGTCTCCCGCCAACTGTCACTTTTTTATGACGTTTTCAAAATTTCTTTATCGTTTTTCGACGTTTTAATGGAAACGAATAATTTTTTAAGTATTTTTTCCAAACACCCTTTGTCTCTCTCTACCTCACCACGCACACAAATTTTTCGTCAAGCGCCATTTTTTTTCGCGCCCATTTCGTATGAGGGGTTTACGGGCGACTTTAAAAAATCGTACCGTCCGAAAGGATAGATGGATTTCAATGAAACTTGGATGGAAGATGTATACCCACGGGACGCTTCCGAAAAAAAGTCGGCGTCAAAATCTGTTTGACGGTTTCCATGGAAACCGCGAAAAACCTCGAAAAATTGCACGGAAATCGTCCAAACGTCCTATGAGTGCCTTTTCCGGGATTTGGGTGAATTATGGAAGTGAGTTTGCATAAACTGTAGACGTTCAAGACATCGTAGTTGGCTCGAATGAAGTTCTTTTTCGTCTCCCGTCAACTGTCACTTTTTTATGACGTTTTGAAAATTTCTTTATCCTTTTTCGACGGTTTATTACAAATGAATAATTTTTTTAAACACCGTTTGCCACTCTTTAACTCACCACGCACACGGATTTTTTGTCGGGCGCCATTTTTTTTTTCGGACAAATTTTGTTTGAGAGATTTCCGGACGAAACATCCCGTCAGCGTCCCCGAAGGGGTCGCTGCACAATATATAATCACCTTTTATATGTTTTCATCATGTCCGCGACCTCTACTAATTCTATCGAAATATTTCCCTTTACCTCTTCTTTTTTTTTAAGAGGAAGTAACAGGTGTTACGACTTTTACTTCCTCTAAATGATCAAGTTTGGTCATCTTTCCGAAGCATCGACGACGCCGAAAGGCCACCGCGCTCAGCCGAAGACCCCACTATACATTCAATCGGTAGTAGCGACGGGCGGTGTGTACAAAGGGCATAAAGAAACTATAAAAACGGTGGAACCTATAGCATTTTTTAAACATTCTGCTTTTGAAGAGGTGTCCCGATCTTTCCAGTGGAAAATAATACCAAGGTCTACAATGATTTGAATAGTACTTTGAAACTGAAGCACAGATTCGTGATGTTCAACCCATTTGGTCTCACAAAGATTTTTAAGCTGACTATGGCCATCTAAATTTTGCTTAAGAAAAAAATTTCTTTTTGCGGAAGCTTTAAAAAATGCATTTACCTCTTTTATAACGCCAACGGCATTTCTAACACCTTGAACGATTGAGCTTTTTGAACTTTAATGAGTGGCTGGCACAAGGACTTTTAAGTGCATTAGTTATTTTTTTTTAAATTCAGTAACGGCTCCCTTTTGTTTACCAAGCATTAAGTTGCAAATATCAGTTCCAATTCCTATACACTTACCGGGATTTAAATTAATTTTTTTAATAAAATTAAATAAGATTTGAGCCAAAATTTTACCACTAACTGTTGGTTCTAATGTGTCCTCATCAAACAGTATCTTAAGATTATTGACATTTGTGACTTATGACCGTGGTTTCGTCAAATATTACACTATAAAATTGACTTTTATTTACTCGTTGTAAAATGGTTTCTAAAATCTCCTCACCACAGATTTCAATTATTTCATTTTGCATATAACTACTAATATAGGTTGCACGAGATGAAATGTTTTCTAAATTTTTTTTTAATACAACATCGCCACTCTCTATTCTAAATTTAATTAATTCACGAAAGTTACCTTCATTATTTACAAAACTATCCTCATCTTCAGAAGAACCTTCGGAAACGACAAGAGATCCTCGATCTCTACGACCTCTAAAAGGAATATTTTGTCGTCCCAAAAAGATTACTGACTCGATAATGGGTTTCAATCTAAGTTTATTTTCTAAAATCTGCCTCTGTCTTTCTTGATCTAATGTATTTCTTACATCTATCTCTAGGTTTTCATACATTTTAATTAAATTATGTCCCTCTCTAACTATGATAGACCGATTTATCATGCATTATCAAATCGCCATCTTTTCCGAATAGTTTGGAATACTTATTTAGTGGAGTGGTAACAAGACGTCCCCACTTGGTTGACTGATGTACACCACCCACTTTTGAAAAAATAATGCAAAATTTACAAAATATACCCTCTAGACCTTGCGAATATGTTAGCCAAGAAAAAGGGTCAAAATGTCGTTTTGATAGAAATAATTTAATATCTTTATCATTTTTTCTGTGAACTGAAAACGGGTACGTAAAATTTTGATCCGGAACCATAGACTACATTAAAACCGAATATTTTTCCCGCAATGTAATTATTTTAGATGTATTGACACAAGGGGCAATGTCTATATCGATTTTTTATAACCATGTAAAATATTAAATGTGGCAACGTTGTGATCACTGCTGCTACCGGCGCTAGTTTCGGCGGTTTGTTTACCCATACTCGAACTCGAACCCGCTTCCTCAGAGGATTCCCCGACTGGTGATAAATTCACGACTTCCGAGGTTATTATTTCACTATTTTGTTTTGGTTTTAACAAATAATTATCTAAGGTATTCTGTTTTCTCTTACTCATTGCTAATTTCTGTTGTGTTTAGTATCTGCAAGTGCAAGAACAAAAATAATGGTAAATTTTAGATATTATAATCACATAAACTTAAATCTAAATTACTAAACTTCATAAAAATACCTATAAAGTAAAACCTTACATGAACACAGTGTATCACTTTAGTATCACTATCACTTTGGTGATCCAGTATCCAGTACTTCCAGTAGAAATCAAAATAAAACAAAATTATATAAGCAATAATAGTCGAAGAAAGAGTAAGATTCTGAGATACAAGCACGTACAACGTTGAGTGGGAACCTAAGTTAGGTGCTTTGAGTGGCGGATAGCCGACGAAAGTAAAAAAGCGCTTCTACCAGATTGAATAAAAAATACTGCAATTGGTCTTTCAATAGTTTGTGCAATACATTTTTATTATCTATAAAAAGTTAGGTTTAAACATTCTAGGGGGGTAATTACCCCCATTACCCCCCCATATATGCGCCCCTGGCCATAGGTATAACACTTAGCGTACCACTCCAAATTTAGCATACAATCGCCATTTTATATAACACCCTACAATTTCAAAATTATAACTTTATTCAATTAAAAGGAAACACCTTGCTTCTAGACTTTTAGCAATCCAGTATAAAAGCATTAAAGCTGCATTGAAGCAGGCGCGGATACAAGGGGGGTAATAGGGTAATTACCCCCCTCCCGAACTGCTCGAAGAAATCCAGGAGTTTTTGAATTGTAATCTAAAAACAACGAGACAAGAAAGATTAAATGAATTAGCTCTATTGCATATCCTTCGGGATTTTAATCTTGACGTAGAAAAAATTATAGACAGATTTGCTAACGCATACTAAAGAAAATGTGAATTTAGGATAAAGTAATCCAGATAAACCTATTTGTGATTTTTAAGTTTATTTTTATATATTTTTTTGATTTTTAAATTTTATTTTTTGTTTTTGTTTAAAATCTCTTATTTTTTGTTATTTTTTAAATAAACGAATGATTTTTTGATAAAATTATCTATCCCCCCGAAAAATCTTCCCAGATCCGCGCCTGAATTGAAGTACCACAGAAAAATGCCTAAATAGAAAAACCTATTTTAGGAAATAGATATAATTTCTATTTAGTATTACTTATCGTTTAAAATTTGACATTATAGTTGCAAATTTAAAATGAGACATCGTGTAATTTGCGATTCATCATCTTTCTCGAAAACGCGAAGCTTTACGAGTGGTACGCCTTTTGAATTGTAATGTTGTTTTTTATTTACGATATTTCTTTGAACTAAGTATGCATATTATTTGAGTTATTAGTTAGGCATTCAAATATTTAACAATGAAAATACATAAAAGCCGCTTATGCGTTAGCAGCAATAAAAAATACGTGGCGGCGGTATCAATTAATCGAAATGTGCATGTGAATTGGGATGCATTTTATACGGGGTAAGGCGATAGTTATTCACGATTATTAATAGATACTATTATGTAATTTTGTTGATAATAAAACTATAATGACATCTAATGTTTACAATCACCTTGTCGTATGATACAGAATGGATAGAAACCTATTAAGAAATATCTCACCAACTTGTGTGTGAAATTAAAATAATGTATGAAAAATATATATCTATAAGCGATTTGGCCCTTAAGCCTGCCCATGTAAAAATATTTGAATCTCTTACCTCTTAAGTTTTGTCAATGTAAAAATGTTCATGCAAAACTATTCGACTCCGTCACCTATAAAACTATTTGTCCTATTTATAACTTAAGCCTCTCATTATAAAAAATATTTATTTCCTTTATCGCTTAAACCTTCTCAAGTTAAGATATTTAAACCCTGTACGCATATCTATGTAAAAATATTTGGCTAATTCACTCCTTAATCCTACCTATGTAAACATATTTCAACCCTTAACGTCCTAAGCCTATCCATGTAAAAATATTAATTGGGACCTTAACCTTTTTGTTTCTAATATTAAATACAAATACAAGTTCCATTCTGGAGTTCGTTAAAACTTTAAAACTCATCGTTACTTCACACTTCCTGTATGTTATTCGCGTAGGATCCATATTTATTTTACCCTAAAACAATTATTTACAGTATTATAGAAAAACATATTTTTTGATTTCACAGCATGGCTATCTAGTGAAATCCGTCCTGTGCTGATGTGCATAAAATACCATAACCGTTCGAAATCATTTATTTTAAAATCACTTATATTTAAAGCACTAAAACTAAACCAGAAATTCTATTAAACAATAGGGTTCTGGGTTGGAAGAAATTACAGTAAAATGAAAAGAGCAAGTTAATCGGACAATCATTATAGGGCAATCCTATTGGCGCACATACACATATACGCATACACAGACGACTATACCAACATTTTTGTGTTTTTGGACCCATAGTGGTCGAAAATGTTCAGAATTGTTAATAAGTGTAGTAAGAAAATTTTCTCGTCGACAGTAGGGTTTAGATATATTATATTATCTAGTATTTAAGGAATTAAAATCTTAAATTAGTTTATCAGAGAGCACTTAATATATACTAAACAGTCCTAAAGTCCCGAAACCGACAGATTATCTCTTAAAATGCAAGAAAATATAAATATATATAAAATTGAACAACTTCTTGATTCATGACAATTATTTATATAAAAAAAAAACACCAAGCTTTAATAACACTTTTAAGCTGGAGAGGCTAGCTGCGAGATTAGTGTGCAGCCATGACACAGCCGACTAGCGTTTAATGAGGTAGTGAATTATGAAATGAGAAAGTAGTAGCACCTTCAATTGGTGGTACAATAAGGGTGTAAAAATTAGTTTCGTACGATGACCACGATCATAACTGTAATGAAAAATACATTAAAAGTATGTAAAAAGTATCTAGAAAGTATGTAGAAAGTAAAGTATGTAGAAAGTAAAGTATGTAGAAAGTATGTAGAAAGTATGTAGAAAGTATCTAGAAAGTATGTAGAAAGTATGTAGAAAGTATGTAGAAAGTATGTAGAAAGTATGTAGAAAGTATGTAGAAAGTATGTAGAAAGTATGTAGAAAGTATGTAGAAAGTATGTAGAAAGTATGTAGAAAGTATGTAGAAAGTATGTACAAAGTATGTAGAAAGTATGTAGAAAGTATGTAGAAAGTATGGAGAAAGTATGTTAAAAGTATGTAGAAAGTATATCAAAAGTACCTTTTTTATAAATAAATACGATTATGTACATACAGGCCTAATGGTAGTCATTGACCAAAACTAGTCGCTTTATCCCAGTTTTTGAAGACATTTTATGATTATGACTAGGTGTTTTTTTTTATGGACATACTACATTTGAGTTATGGATAAACTTATTCAATCATTTACATATTTACATTATCCAAAAATAAACATAAATAAAGTATCCAGTGTCTAAATAGGAAAAGAAAAATTAAAATTACATTTTTTAATCGATTGTACAAATGTGTCTGTAAATGCCATTTTTAATTTAAATAAAACGTTAGTGGATGCATAACGAACATGAACAAAATCAGATAAATCATTTTAAATGCACAATACAAGAACTTATAACCAAGAAAAATCCATTTTCCGGCAATTTAATCAAATGCTAGAGAAATTAACGTGCACCATCCATTAATTAGAGTTGATTAGATTTGTGTACTTATCGTTGTTTTGAGTAAAATGTGACTTTTATAGTCAGGAAGTAAGATGGTTTATTCCTTAATTAATCACAAACATGAAAGAGACCATTAACAATATAATAATAAAAAAAACGAATACATTACTAATGCAATTCCCACCAGTCAGTTTTATTAATGCAGTTATTATTTTTGCACGCATCCTGCAGTTATAAAGCGAAGGATTGATTATACAGGACGTCACGAAATTTCATACCAATGTTAATAAAAAATAATTTTTACGATTTATTTTTATACAGAGTGTGTTTCTAAATGATCCATCTATCGGCAAGTTTGATTTGACATAAACATTTTTCACAGTTTCAATAAAATTATTGTCAATCATATATTCATTGTTTTTCTTAGATATTTTTTTTATCGTAAGAAAAATATAATTCCAGTCTCTTTATTTTATTTTCTTGAATTAAATATGTTTTACAAAAAGTATCGTTATCATTATAACGCAAAACATGGAAGAACAACATGTCTTTCAAGATACCAAAGAAACCGTATATCCCTTAGTGTACATGAAAAGCCCTATTTCGAGTAAACTAACTACAATTGTGTCAAGATATGTGTATAAACGTTCTCAACATCCTGAAACACACCCCAGGAATCTGACCCTATTGTCAAATAAAGTATCACTTTTGGGAACAATTCAGCTGAAGTTGTCTTCACTTTGGCGGACGTTTCTAATGACAGGGTAGAGACCGGCTACATTTTAGGCCCTTAATAGATCCCTCTATACCTTTATGGGCACTTACAATCTAAGAAATAAGGACTAGTTTGGCTAATGTAGATGTAATTTCGTTGTAAAGGAAGTTGTTCATGTATAATGCTCGGATTGTAAGCAATTACTGCATTATATTGGATTTTAAATATCTTTACGCAAGGGGAATTGTGTAATTGTGTAAGATTTGTATTTGTATCGTTATTATCCAAATGGCTAAGTGTGTATGGTTTTATTTTGGCATTATATACATGCAAACGAGAATCAATTTAGAATAATTACTCTGGTGAATAATTAATCAACTTGACATATTAAAATATTAATAAAAAAGCGATTTTACATTTTATAATCAGATATATCCATGTATAAGTACGATTAGTGTCAAATTGGTTACTAATTACAATATTATTAGTATTCTATATAATAGTATTTTTAATGTTATATACAATATTTTTAAGAAAATAAATACTGCAAGGATCCAACTTGTAGCTACAAATATATTTAATAATTATCAGTGTTATTACTAGTATATTTCAATACGTATAAGACGTATTTTCTGAATTCATTTTTCTTACCATTGTTTTTTGTTGTTACAGGTGAACAGGCCACTGACGATGAAGAAAGAAGGCATCCAGACGCGAAATCGTAAGCTGTCGTCCAAGAGCAAAAAGAAAAAAAGCGGAGCATCGTGTCTTTCATTGAACATGATGGGAGACATGATGAAACCGCTAGATGGAAGCAAAGGAGGTTTCGGAGGCGGTTTTGGAGCTGGAATGGGAGGCGGACATCCACATCTCAACGCTGCCCTTCATCCGCATCACGCCATGAGCCACTGGTACCAACACCAGCATACCCAAGGGTTCGTTTCCGGTCCACCTCCACCAGCACCGCCGCCCGCGGCTTCGTATCATCACCACATGAGTTCGTTGAGTGCCGCCGCTGGACTTGGATTAACGTCAAATGGAATGGTGAGTAAAAATATGTTTTAATAGTAAAGAGTTGGGTCACAGTAATATGTGCGAAAGTGTTGTTTTGTCAGCGTCATATTGTAAGTTTGACGTAGCGATTTCAAATTGATAGGTTAATTCAAAAACATTTGTAAAAACAAAGAATAGTTAAATTTTTTATTATTTGATAAATGTATAGTTGCTTAAGGGAGAGTAAAGTACCAGTTCTTAATAATTTAGCATTTCGGTAAAATTTGATGAAATTAATACTGTATGTATGAATATTCCGAAATCAATTTGATCAAAAATTACCTAGTTTTTGTTTTACGGCACTTTAAGGTTGATAGGGTAGATGACATCCTCTCTTCTCATTTTCTTTATACTAAGTCTTATGTTTTTGTTTTTTCACGTCTAAATAACACTATATAAACATACTACAAGCTTTTTTGCAACTCTAATACTAAAGTTCAAAGTATTTCAATTATAAAGATGAACTTTAAAGACATGAGAAAAGGATCAATTTTCGAATAAAACATAACAACATAAAATATAAAAAAAATTTATAGGGAAAACCTATAAATATTTAAAGATGTATGTTTGTAGCAATCAGGACAATATTCTAGCATCAATATATATCCTAAATACTCAATAACAACCGGAACATGGGCACATGATCCCATAGTTTTAGTGCCAGATTTGCAAGTGTAATAAAACCCAAAATAGGCTCGAAGTTGTCTTCATTATCTAACGCATATTCATGATTAAATGCAATCCATAGTAAGTAATGCTAGGCATCAAGCCTAGCTAGCAGAGCTAGCTATAAACCTTAAAAAAATTATCAACCGCAAAAATTCAGGCTCTGCATTAATATTGGTTCTTAAAAATGTATCTTAAAAGTGAGAAGAATACAAACTGATCTGATATGTTTTAAAACTGTTCCTCTACAAAAAAAATCCAAATTCAGATATTAAAATAGTTGAGTATGTTGGTCTACTATAGAAGTCCATCTTCCTCTTCTTGTAGCTAATCTTTAGTTATCAAGCATTAGCATCAAGAAGCATTAGCTGCGCAGTTTGAACATTTAAATTTCCTCTGGTTATGGGACGTTACCTATTGATTATTGCACGTGGTATACGAAGAAAATCTGCCAAATTATGTATATATATATATATATACATGCAAAGTTGCTAATTCGTGTTCAACGATGTTTCGTGTAGACGTGATAATGCAAGCCGCCTTGGCTTCTTCGGTTATAAACTGAGATTGACCACGTTGTAGAAAAAATGGCATTTTCACAATCATACCAATATTTTACTAATCATGAACGCCATCTGTATAGCCTTCAACAAGCACAACAATATATCCAGGCTGGAAGCAAGCCTCTATACCATTGAAGCCATTATCCAGCTAATGAATAAGTATTCTGACATCATTATTAGCGCTGCTCGAAAAAATATTATTTGAATATCAAGTAAGTAACCGTGAAAATCATTTGGAACCTCTCACCTCTTGATCTAGTCATATAGGGGGTGGCTGGAATGAGAGCATACAGGCTGAACATCTCTAACAACTGGAACCTACTGGGACATAAAACATACCAGATAACACAACACATGAAGTAAATGATCCGATATTAGACTTGGAATCAGATTATGTGACACCCCGCCTAACCTTCAACATACTCTTCCAGATCAACTGCAACTGGAAAAAGATAAATAAGGAGGTAGATCAATACTTGCTTAGTATTCTCATATGGTTAACGGATGGATCCAAAACTAACAAAGGAACAGGATCTGGCGTACAAGGAGTTAAACCCAAATGGGACATCATCGTCTCAAGGAGAAAACATACCATTGTATTCCAGGCTGAAATACATGCAATCGAATTTAAGAAGAACAAAAAATAAACCATCTTAATTTTCTAAGATAGCCAAGCAGTCTTAAAGGCCCTTAATTTAAACAGAAGCAAGTCAAAACTGGTCTGGAACTGCCTTGGAATACTAAATGTTCTGGAAACTCACAATAAGGTAAAACTAGCGTGGGTACCATTCACAATCAAACCTGCATTTGGGATAGCAAAACCTCTGCTAGACAGGTTGATAACCACAAAACATCAAATTCACTGGCAACAGATAAGAGTTACTGAGGTACTACAACACGTAAGGCCTCAGATATCCACTATTGTGGGATTACTAACGGGGCACTGCTTGCTAAAACACCTTCATGTGATGGGATTACTCAATGATCCAACTACGTGTAGACTCTGCAAGCACAAGGAAAAAACTTCATACCATGTGATCTTCGAATGCGGAGCTCTTGCTAGACGGAGTCTTACGAGTTTCGGTCTAGAATCGAAAAGAACACCCCAGCAACACTTAGTAGGAAACTAATTAAAACTAACCAAAGGCGAAAGACAATTTCAAAGATAGTACCTTAATACGGGGAAAGCAAGGGAAAAAATAGACCGAAGAGGGTGCAGTGTTCTGGGCCAAACCCAACACTACCTGCTTATAACCAACAAAAATAAAGGTAACCATCAGTAACCGGTGATTATAGAATACTTGATACTTGAAAATGTCTCTATTCCTAAATATGTACAGTCCAGGCAAACATTAGCATTCCGATTCTTATGGACCCAATTATTAGATTTTGACCAAATTCATATGGTACCCCTTTTTTAACAAAAATTAAAATCGGACGCAGTGTTAAAGAATTATCGCCGAACATGCATAAAAAACACGGAAAACAAAAAGTCGGTTAAAAACGGTATAGTTCGCAGTGTCGTATGTTTCTTATTTCTCCCAAACCGCTAACTTTATCGAAAAAAATACTGTTTCCTGAAAAAGAAACGAGAAGATGACATCTTCCTATCATCTTCAAAGTGCCGTAAAACAAAAACGAAGTGATTTTTTATTCTTTAATTGAAAACAGAGATAATAAAGGTCCTTTAAATCTATTATTTCTTTTGTTTCGCATTATTAGGAACACGTAAATAAAAAATTTTGGTATCAGAAATACTACGATCTTATATAAATCACTTATTAATCATTTAAACTTTTGCCAATCTTTTACAGACGCATTGGAAAGGTCGAAAAAAATCAAAAATCAAAAAACTAAATACCATTTATATCAAAAGTCCAAAACAATTATTAAAATGAAAGAAAGTGAAGTGATAAAAATCGGTTTGGAAATATGAAAATGCCTACGATTAAATGGGGATCTTACAAATGTTGTTGTCCTTTCTTCACGAAGAATTCAGAGATTTTTTTTATTTTTACACTTTTTGGACCTCTTTTGCTATCACCCTAAGCTGTCTGTTGCGTGGCGGCACTGCAGCCTGCAGTTTATTTACTTTTTTTTAGCCTGCTGTTTATTTATTTTTTTTGAGGAGTGGAAAAAAATCTTACATAATACGAAAACTAACCACTCAGGACTTAAGTGATATTATTCGGGACTACCTGTGGCATTACTTCAAATTAGATGATTTAGCATTATTTTTGGATTTTTTCTATTTATTTGCTTTTCCTTTCTATTCTCTCATCTGCTTCCTTAGCCTTCAATATTGCGTTAATCATGTAATGTATGTTGCGCCACTTCTTTTCACTTTCTATCATATGTTTTATAATATTTGCTAATGTTAGCAATTCATTTATTTCGTTGTTTGTTCTGTCTTACAGTGTCCTATCTTCTGCATTTTAATATTGTGGGTTCTATAGTGTCTCTAAATCCACAGTAGCTGCATTCCTCGTTATTGTGCAATTTCATTTTGTAGAGGTATGTTTTGAAAAGCCAGTGGCCTGAGGAAAAGTATGTTAGGTAGTAATCTACATCACCATGTTTTCTTTCTACCCACGGTACCACATAGTTTATCAGTGTCTTTGTCATAATTTCTTGGATCCATTCTTCCTGCCACTTCTCCATTTTATTTTCTCTTGCTCTTCTGTCGTACTTGTTCCTTTACTAATTAGGTGTATTGAAATAGTATACGCTATTACTTTTGTGGCTTTTGTCGATACTGCCCTGTATACGCTCGTAATTCTAAGTGCCAATTTTATTTGTTACTTTCAATTACTATGCTGCCTACTGATTTCAATGCAGTCTTTCCACTCTGGTGCTCCATACAGTACTATTGAGTTAATGACGTTACCAAGAACTCTTCTTCTTCTTCTTCTTCTTCTTCTTCCTGCTTTAGGCCCTCCGGTATTCGGCACTAACCGAGTCAGAGCTGCTACTACTTTGTCTGCTCCTTTGATATATAATCCCATGTTCATATTTTGTCCAATTTTTATTCCCAGCCATTTAAGGTTCCTTTGAGAGCATATGTGAGTGTTATCTATATCAACAGTGAATTTTTTTAGAGTTCTTGTACCTACTAGGACAACTGCTTTTGTTTTGTGTGGCGTTAACTGTAATCCGTTTCTTCCCAGTGCCCACCTGGTAGTATTTTCGTTTTTATCTTTATATTCGCAAGCGTGCAGCTTATTATACCACCATTTAAAGGTGCTACTACTTTCCCATTCACCAATTCGCTCACTCATTCACCATCGTTTATTCCACGTACTTGATGGTTAATAGCTAGTTGGTTTAGTGCCATGGTTGCACAGCCCATGGTGAAACGTCCCAGCTGTTACTCATCCAGGACGTAACCGAGAAATTACTATTTAACTGTTGCGAGAACGTGAATGTACACTAATCTCGCGTCTAGCTTCTCAGGCCCAATAATATAGAGATCTGCAGAATGCCTTTGACCAGACGCAGATTTTTTTAGTCGTAGTTATTTGTTTGCTGTGGTATTGTCAGGATCACTTGTGTGTGTAGGGGGGAGGGTCAGGATCACTTGTTTCATAGCATTTTTCCTTGCATTTCATAGGGGAATATTCTTTAATTAGGTTTGTCACCACCAATACTGTCAGTTCATTAGAATGGCCGTATTCAAAAAGTATTTGGTTGGCTGCCTTATTGGCTAGGGAATCAGAAAGACGGTTACTTTTTGATATGGTGTAACCTCTAATCCATCTTGAGGTGATCATATTCTTGATGGATACTTCGGGCAAACCTTCGTGACATTCTAGTACTATCGCTACGTCAATTCCTGGTATTTATAGGGTATGTTATGTTTTGTTCGGAACATAGGATTTGGAGTGGCTTCAAGTTAGTTAAATCCCCCTTTTCTATTTGATATGATCCTAGATATAGTGCCCTACACATTTAGTCAGAATGGGAATGGAGGTTACAGAATGTGCTTTTACTATCTTCTACAAATCTCAGTTTACTAAGGTTTCCTTTGAGTCTGCAATGCCCAGTACGGATCCATGTTACAATGCGTAGCCTGTTCTTACTCAGGTTGATACAAACTTCCGATCTTTTCTGGCTATATTCACCCAGAAGTATCTTAGTCTGTCTTAGCCCCAAAAGCTTGTTCTTCTACTGGTTCTTCTACTGTCCAATTCTTTTTTAATCTCTTCTAATATTGTGTTACTGCTGATACCGCAGAACGGCTCAGGTCCCACAAAGTTAACTCTATAGAGTAAATAGTGATTGTCTGCTATCTGTATAGATGAACATGTTTCATCCTGTGATATTGTTTGCAGCAATTTATTTTGCTGCTATGATAATCTCATGAGTTCAGTTTGAACTACATTGGCACTATTGCTCACATCAAATTTTATGTTTTGCTTTAAGGATCTGGAGTATAAATCTAGCAATAATTCATGAATGAATAATTTTATTAATTTATGGAGTTAATGTATTCGTATTTGTTATGATTACTCATTCGCCAAAGTTTTTATTTTAAGGCAGCATAAATTTTTGTTGTTGCTTTGGACATTTGAGAAAAATTGTATTTATGTTTATGTTCTCTCTCGACCTTTCTGCACAAGGTTGGCAAAGTGGTTTGGCAAAACCACACATACATTGTGTATACAACCCTTTTATCTATAATTGTTTGATTTAGTATTATTAAGTATACTCGTAATCCACTGAAATAATTAACAAAACATTATGAATAGTGAACAATTAACAAAGGTCCTTCAAGAGCCAGTGAATATACAATTGGTCGTCGAAAAGAGCATGTTTATATCAATACATTGGTCTCAAATTATTCAATAAGAACAAAAATCAATATTGCCTTCGGTGGTTATAAAAACTTGAATAGTAATTTTAAATTGAAACAATTAATTTAAATAATAGAAATAAATAGATATTACAAATTATGAGAGTCTTTTATGAGTAAAAAATCTAATTATTGTTTTTCTATTGTTTCAGACGAGTTGGAGGTCAGAATACACGTGATAAGGAACAAAAGGAGCCTTTTAAGGAATTTATTTATAAAAATAATTTGTAGATATCTCCTAAGATAATAAAAACTTAAGAAACCTTAAAAGTGATCATTGTGAGCTGGTCAAAACGTCCCTGTATACTTGTATTTAGTTGTAAATTTTGTAAAAATACTTCATTCAGCGATTTTTCGACCAGTTTGTAATTGTATAAAATTTAAGTACAAAAACGAAGTTTGTAATTGTATGTATTGTAAATAGATGTAGTTTGTCTAAAAAATAATTTTTAATACAAAAATGACGATTTGTATATAGCAAAATAAAGAATTTTAAAAAGACATGTGCAATCTTCACGTAAAAAAGTATTTATGTATAATTGTGTGGGTGAACTTAAAGAAAACGGAAATATTGTCAAAGTTTTTAAACAAAATTTTATGTCTAAAATAAATTGTGTACAATTTTTTTCAGTTAAACTAATTTTTGAAAACTATTCCCGTACTATAACCACGATTTATCAAAAATACAAACCTTTGACTGTACTATTTTGGTTTCTCAAAGAACTTTAACTGAAAAAAATATAAACAAAACATTTAAATAAATTATTTTTAATTTATTAATTCAATTAAATTAGTAAATTACTTGTATAATTTTTTTTTTAATTAACATTTTCTATGTAGTTAAACATTTATGTTATCCTAGGTAAATTTATGTGATTGTATTCTAATTCTATAATCAACCATGATTGTAGTAAATTATTATTTTAGATAATTATAAAATTTTTATTTTTAATAAAAAATTGTAAGACATGAAATTTTGTTCAAAAATTAAATTAAGTTAATTAGAGACTGCAAATATTGTAAATACATTTTCAATCGTATAAAAATGCCGACCAATATTTGTTTTATCCAAAATATTACAATTTTGTGTATAAAATATATTTATTGTCAACTACTATAGATTTAAAAACAGATTTTCAGTGTTTAATTTAAAGTAACTAGAATTTGGAATAAAAATCATTAAAATATAAATATTAGAAAAAAAAAACATCAAATTTAATATTATGAGTAAAATATATTTTTTTTTATAAATTTCATTATATACGGGTGGTGAAAAAAATAAATACTGAAAATCGAAAAAGACGCCATGTTTATATTATATTACAGTATTTTTGTTGAATTGATTTAATTTATTTTATTGTTAGCAAAGCAGGCGAATTATTTCTTATTAGTGTTTTGTTTTTCGAAATTTGTACACAAAATGCAATTCAACATAGACATAATTAAATGAAAAAAATTCAAAGTTGTATATAAAAAATTGATGTATGTATATGCTCTTTGTGTGATATATTAAAATATTCAAACATTCATTTGGCTCGTTTTATTTTATTTTATTTTATTTTAAAAAACAGAAAGAAAGGGTTGATTACCTACTTGAGTGCGCTGGTGCTGACAATCATATTTTTCTTTGGGTTTGTTGCTGCCTGTGATGTCTGGACGATCAGCTAATGGGCCATGTTCACATGTGAGATATGCTGTTATATAAATTATATTGTAATAGTTAGTCACTATACAAGTTATTCTAAATAATCAGTTTGTTAAAAAAGCCAAAAGTTTTTAAAGTTAAACCATTTATAATTTAAAATTTGAAATGTGTACGTCATCGGGAATAGCCCAATCAGCGTGTATCGAAGTTTTTTTTGTTATACAGAACCAAGCTAACGACCAAACCGACACATAGAATGTCGAAGTGAAAGCACATCTTCTTCTTCTATTTTTCTGGGCTGTGTCCAAGTGACACTTAAAAATTTTCACCACCTAGATCACCTAACCTAACATTCGTTGTTGTTTTGTTTACTTTTTTTCTCTATTCTCGATTTATTTCTTTTGTCTTTGCTAATTGGTTTAATTTTATTATTAAGTTTGTCAGCTAGATTTATAAAAGCTGATTCAAGTGTTTTACCCATTGTAGACCAAGATATGATTACTGCATTTTTTAACAATACTCAGTGCCAAAATTAAGCATGTTAAGACAGAAAGGTATGTAACACTTTATTTATATTTTTTTTTAATAGTAGGTATAGTTTATATGGGGCAATATACCTTATAGTAAAAAATATTTATATGTATAAGAAAAATATATTAGCATACACTGATATACACAAATACAACACTAGAAATGTGGACGATCTATCTGTATATTTGAACTGTGCTGTACTGTTGGTATTATTTCTATAATTTGAAGGAAATTAATAATTATGTACCTATTACCTGTGAAATAGCAAAATTGTTATTGTATAAAACAAGTTTATACAATTTGCCTAACTCAAAAATTAAAACTAAATAACATCTAAAACTATTAGAAGGGTAGTGCACAAGTATTTACTGTAATACTATTTTTATTTGGTCGAAGATTACCTACTTGCTAGGAGCCATGAAAACAACATCGACTAGAGCGATGGAAGTCATTCTTAGTCTCACTCCCCTTGATATTTACATCAAGGAGGTTGCTCTGACGACAATGACACGCCTCCGCACGGTTGGAATAGAACCTGATGTAGGATCTGGTGAGGCGAGACGTCGCTTTCGGCAGGAGGCGCTCGATACGCTCCCACTGCTTCAAGCGAACATGGACTCCATCTCACCGAGATATATCTTCCATAAGCCATATAAAGTTATAATAGAACAAATAGAAGAGCCAGAAGTGGCAGGTACGATTCATATCTACACCGACGGTTCTAAAACAAACCAAGACTCAGGATGCGGAATATACTCCAGATTCTTAAACCTAAACATAAAATGGGCTGTGAGCTGTGAGCAATAGTGCCAGTGTAGTTCAAACAGAGCTAACGGGGATTATCATAGCAGCAAAAGAAATAACCAGAAATAATATCACTGGAAGGAACATGCTCATCTATACAGATAGCAGACAAGCATTACTCACCCTAAATAGACCACGAATTTATTCAAGGTTAGTACTAGAATGTCATGAAGCTTTGGCCGAAGCATCCACCAACAATGTGGTCACATTAAGATGGATCAAAGGTCACGCCACATCGAAAGGTAACCGTCTTGCCGATTCACTAGCCAAGAAAGCAGTCAACCAAATACTTTCTGGACCTGGCCCTTCTATTGGCCTGACAAAATGGGTAGTGACAGACCTAATTAAAGAACATTTCCTTGTGAAATTCAAGGAAAGATGAGATGAAACAAAAAACTGCAGAGTTGCCAGGGAGCTCTTAAGTTATCTTGACAACACTGCAGCAAACAAATACTTGACTATGACTAGACAGAATCTGCGTCTGGTCACAGGCATTGTGACTGGTCATTGCCAAGTACGGAAGCATCTCCATATCATCGGGCTGTCAGAATCCGCACTCTGCAAAGGGGGTGAACAAGAAGATGAGACCATCGAGCATATCCTTTACGATTGCCCGACGCTCTCATTTATTAGAAGATTTGTGTTCGGCAAGTATCGGCTAACACCGTCCGATATAAGAGAAGCACCTCTTGGCGACGTTGTCAACTACATTAAATCTGTAGACTGGCTGACGAGCTAGGAGGTGCCTATCATCTTAGGAGGATGCACAATGGGCCTAATGAGGCCTAAGTGCCGTGGAGGTAACCCACCCTCCACACGTTACAGATACGTTACAGATATCTACTTGCTACATAACAATGTAAATAATTGTAATTTAAGTACATTTTTGTGTACACATGACTACTTTTTATAAATATACAAACTCTTTATGTTACAACTATTATACACATGTCTAGTATTTACAGGAATAAATCTACCATAATATTGCTTAATTGAAATATTAAAAACACAAATATGTTTATATTTTATGAAATAATTTGAAACATAGAAAAGTAATAAAAATTGAAAAAAATAGGATTCCATAAAAATGTACTATTGAAAATACTAAAAATATCATCACTTTATTAAATATTTTAATATTTTTAGATCTGCCAAGCAAGTATATAGAGATAATGCAATTTTTCATAAATAACTTGAGAAAAGGAGATATTTGCACAGTAAACGGAATAATTACACATGAATATAACGTATTTGCATTGTTTCTCCTACATTTAAAGTAAATAATGCTAAGGTAGATAATAAGTTGAATTTGATATTGAATCTTTAGAGAAACGTTAAATTTGTGCAAATTCATTATTGTTAGGGCTTGTATATATATTTTTTTTATTATTTGTAAATACTTACTTCATTTATCTTATTCAGGTACTTTTATTTTTAAATAATAGGTTAATTAATAAAATTTTCACAATTATTAAATTCTGTGAAATGTGATAAATTAATAAAAAAAACAACAATTAAACAATTTATTAAATTATTAGGTATTAGGTCGGTAGTGTAGCGGTCTAACGCGCTTATATTCATTTATAGGCAAGTTTATGAGTCTGCGACTGCTGGGCTTCGAATCCCAGACCAGACCATGTGGATTTTTAATTAAATTGCATGGTTCGGTTTAGGATTTGATGTGTGCCGTATTAATAGAAATTCAATTTCTGTTGATATGACATGCAGATTAAAAAATCGCCATGCATTACCGTCTCGATGATGGTGGGTGAGGTTTTCCGGGTTTTCCTCACCTGTAAGTCAAATGGCACCATCAATCATCTTTAAGTCGCCCCGGAGCGCCACGGCAAATAATAATAATAGGCGTCCCTTCCCCTACACAAGTCGTTCAGTCGACTTCAGGGGTTGAAATTCACTCGTAAGGGGGTGAATTAGGGAGAGCATTATTATTATTAAAATGAGGTCTTTTAAGTTAACAATACCACTAATTCACACAGAAATGTAAAAGATTTACGTAAGCTACACTTTCCTTCTCATAAATATCATTGAGGATTCTAAGAACATTGTTATGCAATCCTAAATATAGCGTCAGTATATTTTCAATTGTTTTGAGAGTTCATTGGTTTTGAAGATCCTGTTCATTATTATTAAGTCCCTCTGAATCAGAAATTAAAGATGTTTCTTCTCACTATTTTCAAAACTTTCAGGAGGTGGGAGGGTTTTTAGACTAAAAACCTTCCAACTTATCGTAGGCTCATTTTAAATTTAAATGTTATTCAATAGATATGAAAAACGTCTCTAGTAGAAGGTTATTTTTTAGTCAACTTTTTAGAAGATATTTTTTTATGTTTTCTGGTTTTCAATTTTTGGTAGACTCAGTGAGCTGGCTCTTGTGTTGTGAATAACAAGAACTTTGGAGATATTTGTGTGGTACTACCCACTTCTTATATGTAAAGTTTTATCAATTATTTAAAAAAATAATAGTTTTCAAAATCATCTAGTATCTAAAAAAAAAAAAAGATAAAACATCGTTACTACAATGGTAGGGAATTGAAGTCTAATAATTTACAATAAAACATTTTTATTTTAATAAAGAGTATAGGTACAAACCTCAAAATAATTTAGATGTTGCTTGAAGCGTAATAATAATAATTTTTTCTTTTTATATTTGTAGCAACACTCTACTACACTACTAATGAATGTAAAATGTAAATCATTATCACATCTTGGGAGGAAACATTTTTTCGTACTCATAATATTTATAAAAACATCAAAATTAATAATTATCGATTGACACAACACACAAATTCTTGATTGACAGAGGACACATACAGTGCTGTCGCATTGCCATTTTCTTGTTTATTTGTTGTCGTTTTTAAAAA